CATAGTAGCTCCAATCTTTAATTTCAGTTCAATCAGTCGAAAATCTAAGAAGATTTATACAAACTTTCATCCCCTATTTTATCCCCTTAGGGGTGGAATTTATCAAAATCCTTTCTTAGGGGATGCGTACGTCATAGTAGCTTTATGCATGCAAAGTCTCAGCCCGATCGCTTTAAAATTGACAATGTTTCATACAAATTTTCATCCCCTATTTTATCCCCTTGAAGGTAGAATTGATCAAAATCCTTTCTTAGCGGATGCCTACGTCATAACATCTACCTGCATGCCAAATTTCAGCCCGATCCGCCCAGTGGTTTGGGCTGTGCGTTGATAGATCACTATGTCAGTCAGTCACCTTTGAGTTATATATATTTAGATAAAATTTAATGATAAAATAAAGCATTTTGAATAATTTTTATAGATGTTTGATAAAACTATGTTAATTATTCACTTACTTGAAAGTCTTTATTATATTTATCAATCATTGTCTACTTGGACACAACCTATTATTAGGACCTTATACTGGTGCTTTTGGATACTGACACAAAGATGAGATCTTAATCATTAAAAAACAAAATTTCTTTATTATATCACCTTTATTATTATATCACTATATTAAGGACTGTAAGGCCTTAATATAGTGATATAATAATAAAATAATAATATTTAATTATATATATATATATATATGTTTATTATATTTTTTGTGATGCTAATGTAATATATAATTTTATTGCAGCAAACTTTACTCAAGAAGAAATTGGTGAACCTATTTTAACAGTTGAACTTCTGCCTGGTGATCTTCTTTATTTTCCTCGTGGAATAATTCACCAAGTAAGTAATATTCGATTGAGTATTTTCTGAAAATAAATTCTAAATAATGTAGAAAAATTTTAAAAGATTCAAATATTTTCTATTTCTTTTATTTATAGTATTTTTAAAAAACAGTTTAAAATACAATTATATAGTATGTTACAAGATACGTTAACTAGGTCCTTTCTTGTTTTTATTTTTTTCTTTTTTTGAAAATTTTACATAGGCATTGCTGATTTAAAAGCAGCTTGTCTTGGTTCTATTAATGTCTTCTATGTGAGCTTACAGACAAACTAACAACACTACAGTGGAGATATGCCTATACTTTACTCCCAATCATATATAATATATATATAAGTAAACATGATGTTATTCCACAATACTTTAAAATAGCAAACAAATTTTCTTTTTAAATATCAGATAAGCTGTAAACAGAACTGAAGAGGGATATAATACCCGAAATGCATATTCTGTTCGATTAAAACCTATTTTTACACCATTTCATCATTTATCCTGTATGATAAGTCTATTATAAAAATTTTATGCTCACATAGAAGACATTACATAGGCATTATTTATCACTTAAAAATTATAAATTTAGAATGTGACAAAAACAGACAAAATGTAATGCTTATGATGTTACAATTTCCAATTCTTAAATTTGTAAACGCTTTGCTTTTTTTCAGATGAAAAATAGTTAATCTTATCTATTTAGTCCAAAAGTAAAAATAGTTTCATTAAAAATTGTTTCAAAGTGAAGTTTTAAGATTTAAAAATTTGACATTATTTCTCCTGCTTCATACTTATCATGCAAATTAAAGGGTAGTTTTTTTAGGTGTTATTTATATACTGTATACTATTTTTGTAATTGTTACTTCATTTAAAATAACAAAACTTTGGTTTAATATTCAGGCCAAAACTTCAAAAGATAGTCATTCTCTTCATGTCACATTATCAACGTTTCAAAAAAATACATGGGGAGATTTTTTACTAAAGGTATTTTTTTTTAAATAATTGAAATAAGAATATGTATTCTGATTTTATACATATGATATGATACATAAGAATATGTTTGTGTTTATTAGTGCATTCCTAGAGCATTAGAAATAGCAGTAGAAGAAGATATTGAATTTCGAAAATCTTTGCCTTTAGATTATGCAAAATATATGGGTGTATCTAATGCTGATAATGTAAGTATATATTTTTAAAATACAAATTTAAATATAACTTTAGAAGATTAATATTTGATGATCATTTCAATGTATAATTAAATAGTTATGTTTATTAATACTAAATGATAGTTATAAAGTATTAAGAATGTTAAAATTTAATCAACTATATCTGTATATGTTTTTCAATTAAAAATTTTAGATTTTTGCACAAAATTTTGAAAATTGATGAATAAAAAATGATAGTAAATTTTATATTTTTAAAAATAATGTATTTTAAATTTTAAGATGTGATTTATGATTAAATTAAATTGATGTAATGTTCCAGAATTCATTTTTTTTAGTTATCTACTTATTTTAGCAACCTGAATTTACATATGTGATAATTATATATATCTATTTCTAATCCATAATATCTCAATTATTATATGATATTTTTAAATTTACAAAATTATAATATTTACTGTTATGTGAAAGCATGTATTTTTTTTTTTTTTTACTAATATAAATAAACCAGTATATATAACAAAATTTCCTTCAAAGCTAAATAGAACAATAGTAGAAATTTGTTGTTTTCATCTAAATTTTTCAAGTAGTATATAAAAAATTAAGTTATGATTTATAATTATAGATGCATTTGTCAATTCAGAAAAGTATTAAATAAACTGAAAAATTTGTACTTCAAAAAACTGAAAATATTTTTATTGTGATAATAAAGAATATTTTCATTTTTTGAAGTAAAAATTTTAGTTTTAATTCAATAAATTTTTTTTGCTGAACCATCACAAAACCAAGTTCTAGTTGTAAAGAATTTTTCATTTAAGATAGAATAAACAAACTATTTTTCTTAAATCCTATTTATCTTCATAAATTATTTCTGATATATTATGTGGGTATAGAGTAAAACTTATAAACAAACTTTATTACTTGACTGCAATATATATATATATATACTCATTTACAAAACAGTTATGTACCAAAGAAGAATTGAAATCAAATGAAACTTTATTAGTGAGAATTTAATAAAGATGATGATAAGTGATTACAGTATCATAGCAAAGGAACAATTCTCTATGGAACAATTTCAAAATTCAAAGAAACCTTTAGTACCTGTAGGGCCTCCTCCTGTCTGGATACATGTAGGAATATGATTGGGCAATGGAGGCATAAAGGCATTGTTGCTATCCTACAACAGAATTGCCCAGAGATTTTGCAACTGCTGTTCTATATCCTTCACACTTGTAGATGGCCAAAGCTGGCATCCCATCTGGTCTCACAAATACTCATCATATGACAGATCCAGAGACTAGGAAGACTGGGAAAGTGTGACAACTTGAAAGAGTCTTGGAAATCCTACTATATTTTTTGCAGATTGTTTGGCATTTTGGTCTATCCAAGGAAAACTGGCATATCATATGGAAATATCTGATGACTCCATATTTCCATATGATATGCCAGTTTAAGTGATGTTATACATCCATCTTTAGGCACATTAAAAAAAATGAAAGAGTTATGTCAGGTAAAAATGAACACATTTTTATTCTAAAACTGTGAAAGTGTTGGCATTACATCATAAACTATGATTATACATTTAATTTCTTCATTCTGTCTTCTTTCTAACAAAGTAAAATACTTGTGGAATTCCAAAAGTGCTTTTTTTATGTTTATTTTATGGTAATTCAGTTCAAAAATGCAAAAATAAACATATTAAATTTAAGAAATTTGATGTAAATTATCTCAATCTACATCATTAACATTCACTTTGTATGAAATTTGAGAGGAAAGTGTTATTTTTAATGTCAGGGTGGATGGTCAGTGTAGCTCACACTCACTAACTACTACTACTACTAGTCGCTAATTGTTTTAGTGTCATGTAAATGAAAATGCTCTTCCTGATTTTAAGTCAGTCAAATTACAATGATATATTATTGTACTCAGAAGAATGTTTTTTTAAACATTTATTTAACAACTAGTCTGAACAATTTTATATTTTAGTCGCAGTTTAACTGACATGCCAGTAACTCCAGGGTTTCCAGCATGCTGGTCTCTCCCATTTATATGCAGCATGTCGGTCATTCTGCAAAAATACGTTAATTGTATGTGACTTAGCATGAAAGGCAAAGGATGATGGTGCAGGATTTCTTGAACATATCACTGTGCCATCAATATTCCTTGTACCACTACTAGAGATCATTGACTATCATATGAGACCACTTCCTAGATCAACACACCATCACTAGGGGTAGTGTTTCGCTCAACAGTAAAAGCAGTATTGAACTGCTCACCAGCAGTCTTCCACACTCTTAATAAGGTGATTGTCTATTTGCAAGCAGAACAAGGATCATACTGCCAATCCACAGCAATCTTTTCCTCTATCACAGTATCACTGAAAATGAAGCTGACAATGTTGGGGTGAATATTGCAGGATGTCTAGCAATCAATGTGCATGCAAATTTGCTTCAGATATTTCCTTGTTAATGGTATATATAGAAAGAGACAAAGTACTGTAATGAGGCTTGTGCCAGTCTCTTGATGGACAAAGACACCATTTTGGCTGTTGTGCTTGTATTGTGATCAGATAATCATCTTTCCTGTGGTCTTTTGGAGCATTCAGAACCTGGCCACTGTGTACTGTACATATGCCCTGACCTGACATATCCACTGCCCCCAACACCTGCACACAGTCAGATTACCATAGCCCAGATGCAAAATTTAAAGAAATGGTAAATGGTCATCCTGCTTTCCTCATCCTAATGACGTGTTCTTTGTCAAACTCTATTAGCTGGAGCTATTAGCAGGTATACCTATGACACAATTAAATACATTAGTATTTGATTGTGTCATAGGTATACCTGGAATTTGAAGATCTCCAAACAACAGGAACACTGAAAATTCTGAAATCAGTGAGCCTTTTTATAGGATACTGAGTAACAGTCTTAAAGCTCTTTGATGGCATTACCTAGTGTGCAATTAGAATACAACTGTAACCATTTACATACATGTCTGAAACAGCTTTATGCCAAATTTTGTAGTAATCAGACAATTATATCTGGGTGCATAACTTTTTTGTCAGTGAGTGTATTTATGATCTTAAAAACAAATCAAAATTAATAAATAATGTTGATTGCTGTCAAATGTGACTATACATAACTTTGTATAATACAGGCAGAACTAACAAATGACTGTGACTAAACTTTATAGAGATATGATTTTAGCATCTTTGGCTCATATAGGATCCAAATTGGGACCAGCCATTTTGAGTGACTTAATTAAGAGAGAGGGTAATTTTAGACAATTCTGACTGTAATAATACAAAGTAAGTATTTAATATTAAATATTCTTTCAGGATATTGAAAAACACCAAGCTTTTGAACAAAAAGTAAAAGAACTAACCATCAGACTTACAGAATATCTTCCTATTGATGCTGCAGTTGATCAAAAAGTTAAAGATTTTCTCCACGAAGCATTACCACCTTTTATTAAATCAGGTTTTGGAAAATATTTATATGTTTATTGTATAAAACTTTTGAATTTTAATTTTCTATTTCAACATTATTAAGTCATAATATTGACGTTTAGAATATTTAGAAATTTGAAATGTTGATATTATATAAACATTATTTTAAATTTTAACTTTTAATATAAAGAAAAATTTTGTTAATTTTTTATAATAAATTTTAATTTTAATTGAATCCTAAATAATTTATTATTGAAAAATTTTGTACTTTTTTTATTTTAAGTATTAAAGTTTCACAATACTTAATTATTTATTTAGCATACTGAGTTTGTTCAATATTACAATATTAATAACAACTTTTTTAAATAAACAGATGACAAGTTACATAGTGTTCATAATGAACAACATGAAAATGAAGTGTTAATAATGCCCACCAGTATAATAAGAATTATCCATCCAACCTGTATTAGGTATCTATTTAATGTATCTTTAAATAGATTATATATTTAATACTCTTTAGAAATTATAACACAGGTATCTTAAAAACTTAAAATGAATTAATTTAATAATTTAAATATATATAAATATAACCATCCCATGAAACCCGATACATTATAATAATAAAGCTACACCAACTGCCATATAATATTTGTTATAATAATTTTGAATTACCAATTAATTTGTCTCTAGAGGGAGGCATTAGGCATCTTCTTGTATTAAATTTAATAATTATAATTTAATTAAATAAGTTTAGAATAAACTGGAAGAAAAGAATTGACTCAGAGTGGAACTTGAACCCACAACTCCCACTTGCTGTGCAGATGTGTTGCCAGTTACACTACCCAGACTTCCAGTCAGCACCAACAGAAATATTCGACAATGATTATATTGTAAATTAAATATACCTGGAAGAGGAGATTGGACCAGATGTCAGGGTAGTGTAATTGGCAATGCATTCACATGGCAAGCAGGAGTTTCAGGTTCGAGTCCCACTCCAGGCTGATCCTTTTCTTCCAGTTTATTCTAAAATTATTTAATTAAATTATAATTATTAAATTTAATACAAGAAAGCACCTAATGCATCCCTTTAGAGACAAATTAATTAGTAATTCAAAATTATTATTGCTGATATTTAGCCTGATATTATATGGCAGTTAGTGTAGCTTTATATATAAAGAATGAAGTTGTAATATTTGGATGATTAAGGTAATATGTTATCTGAATTATCATAATATAATTGCTATTAGCCAAAGTTTGAATATTGAAATATCATAAACATATGTTAAATTGCATTAAATTTTCAGAGTTTTAAGGAATATCTTGATATTTAGATTGATCATCCAGATGACCAATCCTGGGTTAAGAATGCTTTTTATTAATAATGAAACAGATTCTATGCACTTTATTTGTTCAAAAAAAATGGCAGAAGGAGCCCATTTTAATCTTGGCCCCAGACAAACTCAACAGTCCTATTGATTATATATATATATATAAAATCACCAAGATAAAAAAACTCACCATATATATATATGGTGAGTTTTTTATCTTGAGACAATGAAATAACTTAATTGGATCTCATTATTCTGGAAAAAAAGTTTAGACAAAAGTTGTAGGGTTTTGAAGGGGACAATCAATTGGTGACCTTGGATGTCATCTTGACCTTCAAGGTCATTTTAAGGTCAAGTCTGTTTTTTTCAATGGGAATACATATTTTTGACCCCAGCAATAGAAAGAGCAGGAAATTTCACAGTTGGATATACCCTTGACCTTAAGGTCTGGGTTAAAGGTCAAGATTATTTTAAGGTTAAAATTAAAAGCTTTTTCTAATGGGAAACAATACTTTTTATTACTGGAAGGTCATATCCAAGGTTACCAATTGATTGCCCCTTCAAAACCCTACAACTTTTGTCTAAACTTTTTTCAGAATAATGAGATCAAGTTATTTCATTGTCTCAAGATAAAAAACTTGCCCTGTATATCCTTAACCACTCAGCAATGACTGACAGATATATCTGTCAAGGGCGATCGTGTGGCACTTGTGAATGACAGCTATATCCTGAAAAGAATTTTGAATTTTGCAGATATCACCAAAAACTACCACGAAGAAAAAATTCACATAAAAAAGGAATTATGTAACAATAAAAAAGACTTTTCTTTACTACAGATAACTGTTTATGAAATCTTTTTCTGAAATGGTAATGAGAAAAAATGTGTGGGAAAATACTTTAAAAATTTCCCACGTTTATTCTCCCCTATGTAGAGATAGCACCATACCTGTTGAAAGGTTAATGTACTGGTAAGACATATTGAAAAAGTAAAATCAAAATTAAATAGTGATATAAAAGTTCATTGTGAAAATTTGCTGATTATAACATGTTTTGCATAAAAACTTTTATAAATGTAGTTTTTGAGTTGTAAAAACCTTCAATATATTTTCAAACATATTTATGCTTTTTGATTTATTTTTTACAACACTAATGCCACTAATAAATGAAGTTCATATATATATATATTGTTTATGAATTGCTTTTAAACTTATATACGTTTATTTTAAGTTCTGTAGTGCAAGTACACAAATTTGATATGGAATGACATTATTATTATTATTATTATTTGATATAAAATAATATATTAATGATTATCTATCATTTTAAATTTATAAATAATTAAAATAACTTTTATTAAAAATTTTATATCAATTAATTCAATTATTATATTTTATTTTTGCTATTACAGATTAGTTGTGGAAGAAACAATCAAATTATACTACTCTTTAGAGAATACAAAATTATACCTTGAAATTGAATCACAATATATTAATGTTAGTGAAGAGCAGGCTTTTGCAATTGAAAGTTTAATTCATTCATATCCACAATTTATAAGTGTTAAGGACTTAAAATTATCAACATTAGAAGAAAAAGTAAGTATTTATGACAATATTCAAATGTAATTTAAGAACGAATACAATAAGACCCTGCTTAACGGGGGATACATTCCTAGATAACAAAGCACTAACAGCAAAACAGCATTAAACAAGGTCATTTTAACATAGAGTAAATAGGGATAGGAGAACATGCAACCAAAAATAAACAAATTTTACTTTATAAGTTATTTTTATATTAATTTGTATAATAATATATGTTAAATAACACATAAACATATGCACACAAAAATGTAAAGTTCATTTTTTGTGACAAAGGTCCTGACTTTTCTGAAATTCTTGTTCTTTTGCAATAAAGTTGTGAAGTTTCATTTGTCGCTTTTTTCTTTCCTTAAGCAAATGTTGGTAGCAGAAGATCGCATCCAAAACGCCTTGTTTTGCTTTTGTACTCCTTTCAAAATCTGGATCATTCACTACAATTTGATCAATGATTTTGGTTATCATTACCAAAGTCTTACTAAGGAAATCTATAGAGAAATTTTTTGGATTTTTCGTTTTCAGAATCTCCATTTTCCATTTCCACATGAATTCCATGTTTGCCAGTTCTTGAAGGTCATTGTTGGTAAGGCTCTCACCAGAAATCTGCTGTAACTCCTCACTATGCTGCTTGTCTATATTTTCTAGTCCTGCTATATCGATTAGGTTGTTTGGTCAACGTAACGATACAGCGATAGGCTCTTCTTGTTGAGAATTCTTGGATACCTTCAGCCATAACTTCTTCCACACTTTGTGCATTTATCAGTTAATTCTTCCCAAGCAAAGATGATATTGCCTATGGCATCAATGATGATATATTTTTTTCAAAATTGCACCAAACAAACAGATTTAAAGAAAGTACACCTTTTTGCCACCTTTTGCTGATTGGTTTGTGTTTGTAAATAATCGTATTATATAAGAATCAATGAAATGCCGTGATAATTTAAAACTGTAAATTTTGATATTTTTTTAATTTTTTTTAAGGCTTTGTGCAGACCACGTTATATTGAGGCAGCGTTAAGCAGGGTCTTACTGTACAAATAACATGATAATTATAAACTTCAAAGAATCTATGTTTTGGTTTAATAGATCTTGTGAACCGCCAGGGAGGTTGGAGGTCTCCCTTTCCGGCGACAGGTCGTTAAACCTGCTCACTGTCAAGATGGCTTAAATGTTTCTTCTTCCCTTTCCCGCGGTAACGGGATTTAATTGTTCGGATCGAGTGGAGGAGGGAGGAGTGCCGTCAGTAAGGTGGCAGGCGATATACGAGTAAACTGAGGACACCAATTTAACAAGGAAACAATGATTTATTAGCTATCTACATAGACGGTACAATAACTATTATCGAGGGAAATTTATGAGTCCTTAAAATGCAAAGGGTCTAGAGAGAGTTCACAAAAATTTGTTCCATACCTCTTTAGGTTGATAGATCTCTTGAGGAAATTATATTTTTCTCTTTGAGGAAAATAATAGACATAGGACGCAATATTCGTAGCACACAGTATTAAAGTGACGGCGGATGAACGACTCCCCCGAGAGGGGGAAGCAAGTGGCTTATATAGTTTCGTCGTGGGAGAATGGTCAGGTGACCAATTGTTGTGAGGTAAAAGATACTCGGATGGGTCAAAGTTGTCCCCAGGCCCATGCTAACTATCAACTTTGGAGTTGAATGTGGGATTGTTTTCGAAATGGACGGATGTCTACTTTGAACGAAAGGGGAGAACGAAAGGGGCCTTTTTTTAAGCTAGGTTTTAGTTTAGAATTTAAAGGAAAATTTAATTGGGGGTTTAGAAAAATGCAGGATATTAATCAGAAAATTTGGTAAAAATTCCGAATTTCGCATTCACTCCCTGTTTTCTTTAAAATCGCACTTAGTAGTGTGATTTTAAACTTTTTGAGTGTTCTGTCTGAGTAGAGGTGCTCAGTAGCAAGTGAGAGAGTTTTTTCAATTTCTGGCAATTTTGTGTGCAAAATAAGATACTATTGAGCAATAGATCTATAGACGTTTTTTGCTTTCTAAAATCGTATTTTCTTAGGAAAAATAAGAAATAATATTTTGTAGGCATTCATTGTCATTTTGTCATTCGTTTTTCTTTATGGTTTTCTATGGAGTAAATTTTATAGTTTAATGTGATAATGTAGCATTTTCTTTTGTTTTGTTTTGTGTAGACATTGGTTGATTTTATTTTGTTATATTTTTGAAATTTTNTAGGAAAAGCAAAGCTTTTGAATAAAATTTCAGATTGAAATTCCAAAATCACATGGGAGCCTGAATATTATAAGTTTTAATCCATTCCCATATGAAAACAGATGATTATTTGGAAATCAGAATTTGGAGAAACTCATAAGTGTAATCGACAGAGAGTGGGTTTAACTGTTAAGAATTGGCTAAAAAAGGTTACCCGTTGTCCAGCTTTTCATGAACAAATTATGTTGTCAATTTTACAAGATTTTTCCTTAAAGTTTAAAATGCCAGTAATTTTTGTGGGACATTGTGTGCATTTACATTCGTTTGATATTTCACTTGTGATTAAACAAAATAAAATTAGAATTGTATTAATAAATCTAATTTTCTCTATTTTGATCTTTAAAGTCACACCTCGTCCTATATGCGAGTAAATACTGTATAAAGATAACGTCCATATGGAAAAGTGGAAGATTGATTCCAATCTTAAAAATCACTAAAAATAATATAATAAATCAATTAATATACTGAGATATATTTAAACCAAAATATTTCAGTTATAATTCATAATCATAAGAGGGCTAAGTGTAACTTACGTATCAGGAAAATTTAATAACTTTATATTAGTTACATAAACTTTATTTTAACTTTAGTTTTTTATATAACTTTTTCAATTAAATATCAAAATACCTCTAGTTTTTAATACTGAGTGGCATAGAAAACTATTCCATAGTGAAAGAAATCAAAAGAAATGAATCATATAAATTCTCAAACTTCAAATTAAAATTTTTTTCACTTTCAGTCACAGGATAAGGTCTGAATAAAATATTGATTGTCTTTACACACATTCAAATAAGTCATATGTAAATTTTAAAATTTAACTTTTTTCTGTGTGTATGAGTAGCAGTCTTAAATGCAAATTCTAAGTATTTTTTTTTATTTAAAAAAAGGAAATATTAGTAATTTTTCTTAAACTAAAATGAAATGAAGATTTTTAAAAATGTAAATTTATTGAAACATATTAGATCAAAGCAAATTATGTAAAAAGAGAAGTGAATTTCTTTTCCAGACCTTGTTAAATCAAACTTATGTAAAACAAAAAAAAAAAAAACTGTGTAAAAACAGAATTGGATGTATATAGTTTGTTTCAAGATATGCATCTGATAGCTGAATAAGCAACACCCATCATCTCATATCTGAATATTTCATATCAGGTGATCAGAGGAGAAGATTCTGTTTTTCTGGTTCATAACAGTTATATGATATAGATTTTTTCCAATCAAAATTCAATAATATGTTTGCATTTAAGTTGTACATTAGTTTCTGTTATTCTTTTCTTTATTGTTGATTAAAAATATGATTGTTTTCAGTATTTCAGAACCTCTAAATTTTTGATTATAATGTTTTTGAATCATATTAACTATGAGCATACCCATTTGTTGGGAAGCTTGGACCACTAGATGCATAATTTTCAATTTAAAAAAATTATTTGAGTCAACAGTTTCTGGTAGAAAACTCGGACCTGACTGAATTTTTTTCAGATATTTTTCAATATGAATATGTGTATTTTGAAGGGTTAATTGGTTCAAGCCATTCTGGAGATAAAAATTAAAACAAGTTTCTAATTTTAAAAAATGTATGCATGCACATACTGTTCTAAAACATTATCAAAAATTTTCGTTCATTATAGTACACATTTGGGTAAATTTCAATGCAGACAAGTTTATTAGACAGATTCCCCTATGGGAAAGGTGTCTGGCCCTTAAAATAGATTTAGATGTTAATTAGTCTCATTATTCATAATTGACTTTTAATGATTGAACATTACATAAAATGCACGTTTAAGTTAATTTTTACATAATATATATTAAATAATTTTTTAAAATATCATTATTATTTCATTCTTCATTTTCAGTAAATAACTAGAAATATGTATAATCATAAACATTAAGCAATTAAAGAAAAAAAAACAATATTTTTCTTATTTTTATTTTAAAATATTTATGAAATTTCTAAATTTTTTGCAAGTAAATCATAAGTATTAAAGGAAAAATATTTTTGTTAAAAGGAAAATATATACAGTAGAGCGTCGATTTTCCGAATCAACTGGGGACTGGGGTTGTTCGTATAACTGATATTTTGGATAACCGATTTATGTACGATAAAATAGTTTAACGTATCCGATGTTAAAATTTTTCTCCATTGCGTGTCGCTTTGCGTTGAATTTTCCTCGATGTTAAGCCTAAAAAGACTATTGTATCGTTAAAAATTATTTTTTTATTTTGTACAAACAAAATAAATATATTGAAAAATATAAAAACAATAAACTATTATACTTCAGATGTTAATTTAGTATCAAAAACGTAAAATATTTGAGTAGCCCAAGACATAGCGAAAGATTGAAGCTCCAGAGCACTGGCGAAAATTTAAATTTGCCGACTGGAAATCTTTCGGATGATTGACTTTCGGAAAATCGATGCTCTACTGTATATATAAAACTTCTGAAAATAAGAAATTGATCTTTTGAAATATTATATTTAGGTTTATTTTACTTAATATTATATGCAATAGGAAGAAATGGATTTAGATGTTCATATTCTAGAATTATCGATACTGAGTATAGTCTAATATCAGTTAATATTGGAAGCAGTGATATTCGACGCGTGAATATCATATTATGATCAAGGAATTTTAATTTTTAAATGTTTTATATATATGAAATAAAAAATAGTATTCATATTTTTTAAATATTAAGTAATAAGTATTATGATTTTATAATCTTGTTACTTAATATGTAATTATAATATTTTGAAACTTTCTGAATGACACACTGATTTTGAAGTATTTTTAAAGCAGTCAGCAAAAAAAAATTCAAATATTTTTGTACTGAAAATTGAAGATTTTTTAAAATAAATATAGTATTTTAACAAAAACAATATAAAAAATACATTTATTAGAAATGATTATCTTAACTTTTGTTTAAAAATACTAATGTTAAAATATTGAATTTAATTAATTTAATAAAATTTATAGTTTAAATTAAATTTCTTTAGAAACTTTTACATATTAATAATTTATTTTATTATAATTAGTGTTTGATAACTTTCTTCATACAGTATTTGTAATATTCAACAGTTACTGCATGAGTTTTTTACAAAACAAATTAAGTAACATTCTCAATATTCAGTATTAAATCTTAAATTTTTTGTTTATAATAATAGATACTGATATAAAAATAATATTGCTTGTACTTCAAGGGCTATCTATTTTCCATTTACATTTATCAGTTTATATTGTATAAAGAGACAAAACATTTTCATTTTTTCCTGATAAAGATAATAGAATTTAAAACATTCTATTCATAATCATATTTGAATAAAAACTCGTTTTATTGAATCAGTTTATAAATCTAACACTGTCTATTTAATTCAAACAGTCCAAATTATACCAATTATTTTGTAAGGACATTAAACAGGGATATTAATAAATATTTATTAAAATATTTTTTCTTGTATAAAGTAATAATTGAACAAAAGATCAATTATATTAACTTATATCATATTTGAATTGATAAATTTATATCAGTCTTCACAATTATATCTCATTAAAAATAATTTTTTTTTAATGTCATAAATTTATCTCATTATAATTCTGCATAAGAGAATTGAACCTAATTTAATATGTGACTCTAGGCTAATTTAATAAAATTCGTTAACCCAATGGCCCCAAAATATTCTGATTGATGATAGTTTTTAATGAGTAAAAATAACGTAGATATATTGTTTAATACATATTTAGAAATTTAAAAATAGATGATGTTTGATGAATTTAAATTAAGCAATTGTATAAATGATTTTATTATTAGTTTTTGGTCAATATTACTTATACAAAATGTTTAATAAAATAAATTATAATCTTATTATAATCTTAAAACAAAGAAAAACAATCTGAAATATTGTTTTGGTACATGTCTACTGTGTTTTATCTTATCAAACCTTATCTTAATCTATTTGATTACAGTATCATAAAATTAATTTTTTATAATAAATATGTACATATATTTCTCTTTTCAGATTAACTTGGCAAATCTATTATATGATAAAGGAATCATTGTCATCAAGTAAACTTTTTATAAATGCAGAAAATATAGAAAATGAGTATGTCAATTGTCTAGAATTTTTGAAAAAACTTTTAATGTATTTTTCTGTTATAAACATTAAAAAAAAATGTGTTATTGTTATCCTATAGTGGTGTCATTTATTTATTTTATTTTTTTAATAAATATATATGATGTTACAATAAGTGATCTAATCATGTTGTAAATCATACCGTGGCACCATCTAGTGACAATAAACTTCGTAAAATTATAAAAAGAAAAACTTAATGAGCTTAATGATAGTAATTTTTAACGCTTAATCTTTTAAATTATAGTTAAATGTGGGAATCTGTTCAAATATAATTAGCGAAAGAAGTTATCGTCCTTTTAATGCTCAATCTTGCGTAAAGCGTTTAAAAAATAATTCATGCTAATTATAGTTTTATTTTTTATTTATTATTGTTTTTTAATAGGAAGCATTTACAATATTTTATTTTAATACTTACAATTAATAAATTAATTAATAAAATGTTATCGCAAGGTAGAAATATTTAGTTGCGACGCTTTATTGCTCATAAAATAAAAAAATAAAATAAAAATATATTTCATTTTTATAACAATTGAGAAATAAAAAAAAATTTATATGACCGATTTTTTACGAAATTTATTTGAAATGTAAGGTGTATTTTTACGTAATATTTATCTATCTATATAAATATAATTTTTATATACAGTAAAATATTTCTAACAAAGTTTCTTTTTGAATAAAATTCTGTACTTGAAAAATGTCATCTGTATATCTTAGCCAAAAGTAACTGTTTTCAAAACAAATAGGGACGTTTTGTAGGATGAGTAATACGTGTACAATATGTTCATTCATATGGACATATTTGGACGAGGTTGTAGGCGGACACCCAGAAATATTTCCTGCTGAGGTGCGCTTAAGACACTACGTCGACTATGACGTCATTGCATTTATCCAATTAAATCCCTACTTTTATTTACACTCGTGATTCATAACCGACACAGTCCCGTTATTGCCCTCTATTACAACAAGATATTAACAATGTAAACGTTAATTAAATAAACACGCCTTTATCGTAAAATTAAAAAAAAACAAACAAACTATAATGATTCTAAACTTCGTCTCTCTCTCTCTCTCTCTCTCTCTCTCTCCGCGCGAGAAAAATATTTATTCTCGTATTGTAGAGTAAGTTAATTTATAGGAAAAAAATACGGGTTGCCGTTTTAATCGAAGATTTAATGGGAAGATACTAAAAGGAAGACAAGGATGCAATCCGAGCATCTTCGTTGCTAAGCAACAAGCTCCTTTCCACGTTCTATAACAGGAATGTCACGTGACGGCCGGAGACGTTTGCCATTGGTCGAAGTTCCGGGCGATATTGGGAGAGGCATGAGCTTGTTCGGGTATCCGATCACAGAGTGCCTAAGTAGGTTAGCGGTCGAGATTTTCGTAATAACTAACCAACTAAAGTAATACCGAACGACTTTGCTGTATTGCGATAAAACGAAATAATTAAAAGAACCGAATTTTGCGTGGTAAGTTCTCTATTTATTATAAAATATGCTAATACTCGTTTAACCCTAATTCTAGGCTTAATGTGGATGGTGTCATTTTACACCATTTTTACTATTCGGTGACATTCGTTAAAGTCTATTCGATAATATAAAGTAAATTTAAGTTGTAATTACTCGGCGTTTTTTTTTATAAGTTATTCTTCGAAGCCCACATGTTATAACTGTGGAAATGGGCCATGCAAAACTGGTTATTCGGCATCTCAACTAACCAAATATTTCCCTTTCTCCTGTATAAAACTACATATAAAACTTTACCTGCAATTTAAAAGCAGGTAATTCTACTTGTCTCCTTTTTAAACTAGGTAATACTTCTCTCCATTTAAAATACATAATGCTTAATTATCAAATGATAATCTAAATACTTAATTAAAATACATAATTATATGCAAGAGTGTATGTAAATTACTTTACAAATCAATATGTTTGTATCATAAACTCGCTTCGCTTCCTCAAAAACGGTTATGTAACGATTACCTGATGATCCTCTTTTTTTTCTTTTTTTTTGTGTCCATTTATCAATCTGGACATTGATCTTCATCAAGGCCATTGTTAAGGTATTTGACCCGTTCCGTGGGTTTGATGTTTTCAAAGTGGGGCGAGTAATATTCGACCTTAAAATGAAGTTGGTGTGGGACAATGCTGAGGTTATTATTGTGAATTGGTTGAAATTATATCCTTTCTTAATCGCGAAAATCTAAATTGCTAGATAAACAAACACTAGAGAACTTTTTAGTGTGGTTGGTTTGGGCTGCATCGTCTGATGACCGTATTTAAAGAAAATCATACTTTGTTTGTTAAGACAGTGTTATATAATTGTTTTGCTGCAAATTTGGAATGATCCGTTTTCTCTCTTTAGACGATAACCTATTTCGTGTGTAAAAATGGCTTGGAATATACTTTAAATTATTCGTCTGACGTTTGACCGAATGGCGATTATAAAAGTTTTATGTTGAGTAATTTACGGGGTGATTAAAATGTGCAAATGCTTGAAATTAAATAGTGTTAGAGAATCCCATTGCTGGGTAACAACCAGACTGCAAATAACACTTACTTTTGCTGCAAGGCTAGTTTGTGTTATTTATAACTTCAGTGGGCTCTTTCAATAGAATTGTGGAACTGAAAACTGAAGTTTTATTACTGATAAAAGAGAAAAAAGAATTTTAAATGCATAATTCTTAGAAACAAAACTAACATTTTAAAATATAAATTATATTACTTTTTTACATTTTTGGTAAAATAATAACTTTTGAAAACAAAAAAACAATTTTTTTATAACTCTAAATAAATAAGTAATCATGATAAAGTAACTTTTTAATGTCTAATTTCATGATGAATATATACTAATAAAGTAATTATTATTTCAGTAAAATTCCAAATATGTATTATATAATGGTATTAAGAATTAACTTTTTTTTCTTCTCTTTTCTTTGATATATAGTCTTACTAAATAAGTTAAAGCCTGCCATTCAAATAGTAATTTGAAATGTGCTGCTTTGGCATACTAGAAATCAGTAGGTGAAATCTAGATCTTGGAAACTTTCCAGAAATACCTTTGGCAGTTATAAAGATTTTGCTTGCCAGCAAAATAATATCATATTATAGTATAATTAAAGATATTTGCTGTCCATATAATTTATAATTCTAAGTTACTTAATTGTTGTAAAAAAATTATTTTTAAATATTCAAAATATTTAATTTTATCACTTTTGCCATCTGATGATTAAAAACACAAAAATATAATATTTAAATTGTTGAAATATTATTATATAATTTCTAAATTTCGTTATAACAACAAATGTCATTTCTAAAATTTAGGCTTATTTTTATTTTTATATCATTTTTTCCAAATCTTCTATATTAATATGAAATTAATATAAACATTTCTGAATAAATGTTAATTTACTCTAGTTTTAGCAATATTAGCAAAATATATAAATGTTTTTAAATTTTTCATTAATTCATAAAGGTGTTGACTTTTATCCTGAATTAATGAGGATTTCCTGACATCTGAAAACAGAATTTTTACAGTAGTAGTAATAATATTACAATAATTATAAATACTAAATATTGATATCTAATTATGAATTACAAAAGTGTTTTAAGAAATGCATCAAGTTAATTATATATTTAATATGATTAATAATTTATATATAAATATTAAAATTTTGCATTAATGAGTTAACACATTGCATGAATAGCAAAAACAATTAGATTTATCCAATTATTAATTAAAATTATCTTAATAAACTTTAATTAACAAAATAAACATTTTTTATTAACAATACTTTTTAATTATCATTAATAATAATTAAATAAGTTTTACTAAATATATATATATATATAAGATCGAATGCATGCAACTAGTAATATTAATATGCAATAAATGTATCTCATTTATTATAGTTATAAATTTATACAGTCGACCCCCCCCATAACACTGTTGATTATTCTGTTTTATATGAATTCTATGTTGTACGAGTCACTTAGATTTTACAAATACATGTGCCGGGCTGTGAACGGATCACGTATTTGTAAAATCTAAGGGGGATTATAGGGTGTTATAGGGGATCGACTGTATTTCATAATTTCATATACAGTAGTCCTGTGCACTGCAGGGGACTCGTTACGCATTATAGGAAATCGCATTATCAAAACCTGCATTATCACACAATTTATGAAAGTTTAAACCTTGGCCTATAAGTTGAAAAAAAAAAAAAAAGTATACCTCTGATCGACAAAATTCAAGGGTGTTGCTTGCTTTATTTACGCGTTGTATGGTACTCTACTGTACAATGGAAAAATTAACTTTAAACAAAGCTTTTTGAATATAAGTACAGAAAGCCTTTGTAAACTAGTTTTGAAATAATGCTATTTCTGCTAACCTATAAGAACTGAGTTAATGAAAATATTACAAAAATTTTTTATATTATTGTAATGTTTAATATTTTGATTATAAATTAATACTGTATAGATATACTTTAACTTATAAATCCTCAACCTATGCCAAAAGTTATGCTGATCATCCCATAAAGCATTCATAGTAGCTGTATTGGCAAATGCAAGGCACACAAGATTGAAATGAAACAGCAAAGCAACTACACTAGCAGCCATATAACTGTATACACAATCTCATATGATTCTGTAGAATACACTTCTTAATAACTGTAATAAATAGCTTTATTAAATGTAATATGCTGTACAGTACATTCTGTTTGTCATTACTGACATTGATTACTGTTTATTGTCACCTTCATAAAAATATCTAATGATATGACACTTTTATAGTAATCACATGACCTCTCACCATCTGTCACATATTTTCATTTGTATGTATTATGTTAGACTTATGACCAAGCTGCTGGAATGGAGGTCTGTTGTAAATTGACCTACTGTATATCTATGTTTTAAATCAAAACGAAAATTAAAGTTTTTTTATATATTATGATGATAAAAATTATTTATAATTTAATGCTGAAAGTGATTATCTTTGTAGTCATCAGTAATAGTAGTTATAGTCAGTCATATATACATCATTTTATAAGCATTGATCTGGTCGCCAAATATATTTTTAAATGTTTTAAAGACACCAACATTTGCTTCAAATTTAAAGATTTGCGAAGCAAAATGATCCAAGTTTTTATTATTAGTTTTTATATAACAGTTTAATGAAAACTTTTATAAATCCTAAGAAATGAAAAAAAAAACTTTTTTAAATTTTTAAGATTTTTTTCATTTCTTAGGATTTATAAAAGTTTTCATTAAACTGTTATATTTTTGATGTAAAATTTATTAAAAAAGATATATTCAGTGTTTTGGTTATCTTTCTTCTCCTAATACCTTATTTCCTGTAGACTGTTTTTTTGACAGCTGCAATTTTACCAACCATAACTTTTTTTATGTAACCCCTGTTAGTGAGGGAGGCTATAGTACATTCCTGAATTGCCTTTACTAAATTTTTATCATAATATTAATGTTTTCATATTCAATAAATTTCAATCCAAATTTATAATTTGCATGTATAAATTAATGGCAGTTTTAATTTATAGCATTTTTTTTTTCTTTTTAATTAACAAAGAATAATTAGTTTTTAGTAATTAAAAATTTATAAATTGTTTTATTCATTGAAATAATTTTTGTCAAGTACTTTTTGACAAGATAATTAAGAAATATTTATCAGAAAAATATATATACTATATTATTCAGACAAAGAAGGTAATTTAAAGTAGTTGTAATTTTATTTATTTAATAATTTTTTTCATTAAATCATTCTTTATTAACGTAAGATTATTATAAATTTCAAAGCATTATTTATGTCCCATATAAAAGAAGAAAGTTTTATTTTAATTCAATATTTTATACATAAATGTATGTAGAAATCTGTATTTGCAAATATTAAAAAAAAAATTATTATAATAATTGTTTTCAGTTTTGAAAAATGGTTTAAATAAAAGTTTAAAATTTCATACTTTTATTTTGTAAGATAATGATTACATTATGAAATATAATAAATGAAGATATTTTTGACTTTGATAGACTATTGATTTAGTTCAATTAATGTAAAAGAATTAAACTAACCTTAAAACTTTATATTTTTAAATTTGCTTAATCAAGGTAAAAATTTAGACTAAATTGGATTTCACTGATTTAAAAGTTTTAAATATAAATACAGTAAAACCTGTGTAATGTTTTGAACAGGCTTTAGTATTTTTTTTTTTTTTTTTAATNGTTTTGAACAGGCTTTATTTTTTTTTTTTTTTTAATCTAAACTACACCAGGTAAATCAAACTTGGTTGTGTGTGTTTTTTTTTTATAGTAAAATAAGTATTACATACGTAAAAATTTTTATTAATAGTCTTAATCCAAAATGACTTCAACTAAAGATGGGAGTATTCAAATGCAACTATTCAGTTGCAGAAAGTTCTTGCTCCCAAGAACTTGTGCTAAGTATTTGAATACTTCTG